CCCCTGTGAGTTTCCGAGACTCTAACTCTTTATGGGAGTATAAAGCCCCATTATTATACAGCCAAATTCTTTACCAACACCATAATCCAAAAGTATCACTTCTTCTTCAAGAGTCCTTATTAATTATCTAGGTTTCGAATATATGTGAAGAGATTGAAAAAAAAACATGACTTGGGTCAAGGACACCTTAGTCCCCAAAGTGTTTCTTTGTTTTAACACTTTAAAGATGTCATTTGCAGCAGATTTGCCCAATGCAATGTCACCTGATTTCTGAACTGCTGATTCACAGAGAATTAATTGTAAAATTAAATCCTTGGAAACTTCAGTCCTTTCTCTACTTATCATGATGTTGTTTATTGTTCCAGTTTTTTTCTTTACATTGAAGTATAATCCACGCTAAAGGCTATAGACTTTGATCTTCCTCAGTAAGCCCTTCAAGTCCTCTTTGTTTTCAGCAAGCAAGGTTGTGCCCTTGCCATGTTGTGAATTGTTAATAAGTCTTCTTTCAATCCTGACTCCATGCTCTCCTTCATAGAGTCCAGCTTCTTGGATTATCTCCTCAGCATACAGATTGAATAAGTATGGTGAAAGGATACAACTCTGATACACACCTTCCCTGAATTTAAATCATTCAATATCCCCTTGTTTCTAATGAATGCCTCTTGGTCTCTATACAGGTTCTGCATGAACTCAATTGCTCTGGGATTCCCATTATTAACAACATTATCTATAATTTGGTATGGCCCACACAGTCGAATGCCTTTGTATAGTCAATAAAACACAGGCAAACACCTTTCTAGTATATTCTGCTTTCATCCAAGGTCAAACTGACACCAGCCTTGACATCCCTCATTGCACATCCTCTTCGAAATCCGGCTTGAATTTCTAGCAGTTTCCTGTGGGTGTGTTACTTCAATTGAGTTTTGAATTACCATCAGCAAAATTGTACTTGTATGTGATATTAGTGATGTTATGTGATGCTTTCTGCATTCTGTTGGAGTCAACATTCTTTGGAATGGACACAAATATGGAAGTAAACCAAGATAAAAAAAGAGAGAGAAAGGGACGGTCAGTCTCTAGACCTTATATCAGCACACCAAGAGGGGAGGATGAGATCCCTTCATGGAACTGCTAAGACACAGAGAGGACTGTAGGACCAACAACAGCTCATGACATGTTGTCCCCTTACTGGAGCATACTGAGACAGAGGACAATACTGGCAACACACACACAGCAGGGAGGAAGTGCGGTCTGAACCCCCCGCAGCGGGGCAGACCAAGAAGGGAACATAACAGATCAGTAACAGGAGCAAAGCCAAGCCGCAAAGTCCCTAAAGAGTCCCCCAAAATAGACTTCAGGCTAGGAGGGGCAGACCAGGAAGAATTATGCATGTTTTCTTTTCCTTTTCTTTTTTTTTTCAAA